ATGCGTCTTCATAGGATACCCTAAAGAAACTATTGGGTATACCTTCTACCTCAGATTCGAAGGCAAGATCTTTGTTGCCAAGAATGGATCCTTTCTAGAGAAGGAGTTTCTCTCGAAAGAAGTAAGTGGGAGGAAAGTAGAACTTGATGAAGTATTACCTCTTGAACCGGAAAGTGGCGCAACTCAGGAAAATGTTCCTGTGGTGCCTGCACCAATTAGAGAGGAAGTTAATGATGATGGTCAAGATACTTCTGATCAAGCTCCTACTGAAATTCGAAGGTCCACAAGGACACGTTCCGTACCAGAATGGTACGGCAACCCTGTCTTGGAAATCATGTTGTTAGACAACGGTGAACCTTCGAACTATGAAGAAGCGATGGCGGGCCCGGATTCCGACAAATGGCTGGAAGTCATGAAATCCGAGATAGGATCCATGTATGAAAACGAAGTATGGACTTTGACTGACTTGCCCGTTGAGCGGCGAGCCATAGAAAATAAATGGATCTTTAAGAAGAAGACAGACGTGGATGGTAATGTGACCATCTATAAAGCTCGGCTTGTCGCTAAGGGTTATCGACAAGTTCAAGGGGTTGACTACGATGAGACTTTCTCACCGGTAGCGAAGCTGAAGTCCGTCCGAATCATGTTAGCAATTGCCGCATTCTATGATTATGAGATATGGCAAATGGACATCAAAACGGCATTCCTTAATGGTTTCCTTAAGGAAGAATTGTATATGATGCAGTCGGAAGGTTCTGTCGATCCTAAGAATGTTGACAAGGTGTGCAAGCTCCAACGCTCGATTTATGGGCTGGTGCAAGCATCTCGGAGTTGGAACATTCGCTTTGATGAGATGATCAAAGCATTTGGGTTTATGCAGACTTATGGAGAAGCCTGCGTTTACAAGAAAGTGAGTGGGAGCTCTGTAGCATTTCTCATATTATATGTAGATGACATACTTTTGATGGGAAATAATATAGAGCTTTTGGACAGCATTAAGGCCTACTTGAATAAGAGTTTTTCAATGAAGGACCTTGGAGAAGCTGCTTATATATTAGGCATCAAGATCTATAGAGATAGATCAAGACGCCTCATAGGTCTTTCACAAAGCACATACCTTGATAAGATATTGAAGAAGTTCAATATGGATCAGTCAAAGAAGGGGTTCTTACCTGTGTTGCAAGGTGTGAAATTGAGCTCAGCTCAATGTCTGACCACGGCAGAAGATATAGAAGAGATGAGTGTCATCCCCTATGCCTCAGCCATAGGTTCTATTATGTATGCCATGCTGTGTACCAGACCTGATGTAAACCTTGCCGTAAGTTTGGTAGGTAGGTACCAAAGTAATCCCGGCAAGGAACACTGGACAGCGGTCAAGAATATCCTGAAGTAACTGAAAAGGACTAAGGAAATGTTTCTCGTTTATGAAGGTGACGAAGAGCTCGTTGTAAAGGATTACGTCGATGCTAGCTTCGACACAGATCTGGATGACTCTAAGTCACAAACCGGTTACGTGTATATTTTGAATGGTGGGGCAGTAAGCTGATGCAGTTGCAAGCAGAGCGTCGTGGCGGGATCTACATGTGAAGCGGAGTACATGGCAGCCTCGGAGGCAGCACATGAAGCAATTTGGGTGAAGGAGTTCATCACCGACCTAGGAGTCATACCCAATGCGTCGGGGCCGATCAAACTCTTCTGTGACAACACTGGGGCTATTGCACTTGCCAAGGAGCCCAGGTTTCACAAGAAGACCAGGCACATCAAGCGTCGCTTCAACTCCATTCGTGAAAATATTCAAGATGGAGACATAGATATTTATAAAGTACATACGAACCTGAATGTAGCAGATCCGTTGACTAAACCTCTCCCTAGAGCAAAACATGATCAACACCAGAATTCCATGGGTGTTCGATTCATCACAATGTAACTAGATTATTGACTCTAGTGCAAGTGGGAGACTGTTGGAAATATGCCCTAGAGGCAATAATAAAAGGATTATTATTATATTTCCTTGTTCATGATAATTGTCTTTTATTCATGCTATAATTGTGTTATCCGGAAATCGTAATATATGTGTGAATACATAGACACCAACATGTCCCTAGTGAGCCTCTAGTTGACTAGCTCCTTGATCAACAGATAGTCATGGTTTCCTGACTATGGACATTGAATGTCATTGATAACGAGATCACATCATTAGGAGAATGATGTGATGGACAAGACCCAATCCTAAACATAGCACAAGATCGTATAGTTCGTTTGCTAGAGTTTTTCCAATGTCAAGTATCTTTTCCTTAGACCATGAGATCGTGTAACTCCCGGATACCGTAGGAGTGCTTTGGGTGTACCAAACGTCACAACGTAACTGGTGACTATAAAGGTATACTACGGGTATCTCCGAAAGTGTCTGTTGGGTTGACACGGATCAAGACTGGGATTTGTCACTCCGTATGACGGAGAGGTATCTCTGGGCCCACTCGGTAATGCATCATCACAATGAGGTCAAAGTGACCAAGTGTCTGGTCACGGGATCATGCATTACGGTACGAGTAAAGTGACTTGCCGGTAACGAGATTGAACGAGGTATTGGGATACCGACGATCGAATCTCGGGCAAGTAACGTACCGATTGACAAAGGGAATTGTATACGGGGTTGCTTGAATCCTCGACATCGTGGTTCATCCGATGAGATCATCGAGGAGCATGTGGGAGCCAACATGGGTATCCAGATCCCGCTGTTGGTTATTGACCGGAGAGCCATCTCGGTCATGTCTACATGTCTCCCGAACCCGTAGGGTCTACACACTTAAGGTTCGGTGACGCTAGGGTTGTAGAGATATAATATGCAGTAACCCGAAAGTTGTTCGGAGTCCCGGATGAGATCCCGGACGTCACGAGGAGTTTCGGAATGGTCCGGAGGTGAAGAATTATATATAGGAAGTGCAGTTTCGGCCATCGGGAGAGTTTCGAGGGTCACCGGTATTGTACCGGGACCACCGAAAGGGTCCCGGGGGTCCACCGGGTGGGGCCACCCATCCCGAAGGGCCCCATGAGCCAAAGTGGGGAGGGGAACCAGCCCATAGTGGGCTGGTGCGCCCCCCTTGGCTCACCCCATGCGCCTAGGGTTGGGAACCCTAGGGTGGGGGGGGCGCCCCACCTGGCTTGGGGGGCACTCCACCCCTTGGCCGCCCCCCCCCTAGGAGATCCCATCTCCTAGGGCCGGCGCACCCCCTAGGGGGCCTATATAAAGGGGGGAGGGAGGGGCAGCCGCACCCTTGAGTCTTGGCGCCTCCTTCTCCCCTGCTACACCTCTCCCTCTCGTAGTAGAACGGCGAAGCCCTGCTGCGGTGACCCTTGCATCCACCACCACGTCGTCGTGCTGCTGAATCTTCATCAACCTCTCCTCCCCCCTTGCTGGATCAAGAAGGAGGAGACGTCACGCTGACCATACGTGTGTTGAACACGGAGGTGCCGTCCGTTCGGCGCTAGGATCTCCGGTGATTTGGATCACGTCGAGTACGACTTCCTCATCCCCGTTCTTTGAACGCTTCCGCGCGTGATCTACAAAGGTATGTAGATACAATTCGATCACTCGTTGCTAGATGAACTCATAGATAGATTTTGGTGAAACCGTAGGAAAATTTTTGTTTTCTGCAACGTTCGCCAACATTTTATGGCAAGTTCTTCGAACACACATGACAATTTCTTCAAAACCACATGGCAAATTCTGGCAGACAATGGATTTGTTGTGAAAATTGCCGTGTTAGCTTGAAGTAGTTGTCATACTGCCGACATATCAATTGCCGCGAAAAACATTTGTCTTGGCATGGACAGCCAGCGAACGTTCGTTGAATAACATAACTCATGTTTTTTTCATGAAAACATAAAATTTCAGTAACCAGAACGCTCAGTAGATTGACTCGCTTCTATTCCACTAATAACTCATATTATATACCTATGTTCTTCATTTACTCGTAAACGATGTAATGATTTTGGACCGCAATAGCCAGCGAATGTTCTGGGTAGCATGGCATTTGTGGATGTCTTTTATGGCAAGTTCTTCAAACACACATGACAATTTATTCAAAACCACATGGCAAATTCTGGTAGACAATGGATTTGTTGTGAAAATTGCCGTGTTAGCTTGAAGTGGTTGTCATACTGCCGACATATCAATTGTCGCGAAAAACATTTGTCTTGGCATGGACAGCCAGCAAACGTTCGTTGAATAACATAACCCATGTTTTTTTTCATGAAAACATAAAATTTCAGTAACCAGAACGCTCAGTAGATTGACTCGCTTCTATTCCACTAATAACTCATATTATATACCTATGTTCTTCATTTACTCGTAAACGATGTAATGATTTTGGACCGCAATAGCCAGCGAATGTTCTGGGTAGCATGGCATTTGTGGATGTCTTTTATGGCAAGTTCTTCAAACACACATGACAATTTCTTCAAAACCACATGGCAAATTCTGGCAGACAATGGATTTCTTGTAAAAATTGCCTTGTTCGCTTGAAGTAGTTGTCACACTGCCGATATATCAATTGCCGCGAAAAATGTTCGTTTTGCCATGGACAGCCAGCGAACTTCGTTGAATAACATTACCCTTTTTTTTAAAACATAAAATTTCAGTAACCAGAACGCTCAGTAGATCGACTCGCTGGCAACCATGTCTGAAACAAAAAGTTGTTTTGAACCTAGCCAAAACATAGTGGCTTCAATCATACGGTACCCGTATTGCGCAAGCGCATGGGCAACAGAATTACATGACCGACACAGAAATTAAACTCAAACGTGTCAAACGTCGCCATGCATATGCTCCTAACTTCACGTAACAGCATGCCATAATCAGCAAAATAGAAATGCCCGGACAAGAATCTGTGAGTCGGACTCGAAAATACATTACCCATAAAGCTAACCGGATACATGGCACGCCCAAAAGAAAGTAAACACGTCTCAAAATACTCTTGTACTCGATGGGCGCGGCGTTATCACGCGGTGGCGATGGGCGCGGCGTCTGCCTTCATGGCCTTGAACCGTGGCTCCTTGGCCTCGAACTTGTGGCGCACGTACAGGTTCATGTAGTCCTCGAACACGAACTTCGGGTACACGGCGCCGCCCTCCTCGCCCTCGTTCTTCTCCGTGGCGCCGGCAGCGGCCACAAGCGCCGGGGCCGGGAAGATGACGGCGTCGGCCCCGGGGTTGTAGAATGACGCGATGGACATGCGGTTGCCGTCGGCGCGGGTGAGCACGCGGTGCATCACGCTCTTGTACCGCCCGTTGGTGATCACCTCCAGCTGGTCGCCGATATTGACGACGATGGCGTGGCGCATGGGCGGCACCTCAACCCAGGCCCCGTCCTTAAGGAGCTGCAGCCCGCTCACCTGGTCGTCCTGGAACAGCAGGATGACGCCGCCGGCGTCGGTGTGCGCGCGGAGGCCGTCAACCAGGTCGGGGCGTGGGCACGGTGGGTAGCTGCTCACCTTGGTGCCGAACGTCGGGCCCCTGGACCCGGCGAACGCCCGCTTCAGGTAGCCCTGCTCCAGACCCAGGTTCTCGCACAGCAGGTCCAGCACCTTCTCTGCCAGCTTCTCGATCTCCGACGCGAATTCCTTGATCAGTTGCCTGCAACGACGACACGAAAAAGGCAGCTTTTGTTATCAGGAATAACTTGCTAAAAAAAGTGATTCCAATCGTGTTGGTCACTACTGTGCTTAATTTAGGATTCTGATGTGCGCAAGCAATCTTATCTCCTGTTGATATCCTAGTAGCAGTACTATATCTGCTGCATTTTTTTGAGCTGCTGTGTCAGCTGGCATGACTTTCTGACAGTACAAAGTGTTCGGCCAGGAGGCCTAACAATAGGCTGCCTTTGAATCGTCTCTGTACTTTTGCGACTAATACTACTAGTTATTCTGTCGAATCTGGTGCTATCTCTTGGTCTCTTATGTTATTATTCGTTAGTTAGTGACCAAGTAGCAGTAGTTAATTACTAAGGAATCAGGCGTGCGTGCGTGCGTACCTGTAGTGGTGGTCGAGGTCGGGCAGGTCGGCAAGGTTGGAGGCGGGGAGGTGGCGGACGAAGAAGGTGCTCTCCCAGTCCACGTCCTTCACGTCGGCGCCCTTCTCGCCGGCCTCCAGCGTCCGCGCCGCAAACTCCTTGAACTGCCCCTCTCGGCACGCCGTGTAGTTCGCCTTGCTCACCCGCTCCACCTCGTCCATCAGCTCGTGCGAGATGCCATGGTTCAGCAGCTGTGCGGACACATACACCGTCAGAGTCAATATATGTCAAGAATCAGATAATCATGTCAAGAATCGTACTTATGCCTGCTTTCTAGAAAACATGCACACATATATCAAGAATTGTATAGTGGTATGTGAGTGGCAGTGGCACCTCGAAGAATCCCCAGTTCTCGCAGGCGTCGCGGATGACCTCCATGGCCGCGCCCCTCTCCCCGGTCTCAAGCTTCTCCATGTTGATCACCGGGAAGTTCAACGAGACAGCAGCATCAGCAGGAATTGCCATCGCTCTCGATCTAATGTCTCTCTTACACACACACTCTCGATATCTGTATGTGTGTGCGCTGGACTGCTAATGTTAGCTGAAGCAGAGAGTGTGTTGAGTGCGCTCTGAGGCCGGTGTGGAGTGCCCAATTTATAGGCGCGCGCGAGAGAAGGCCCCGCCGGGTGGCACCTAACCGCAATGACCTAGCCGGGACGTAGGAGATTACGACACAGCTTAATTAGTTAATTACTACTACTACTACTTTGGTCAATCAATATGGAACGGGGAACAAAGCTGTCTGGACGTATACAAAACAACAGGGGACGAAAGCAACCGAGATGTTAGCAAAGCGGATCAGCGTGCGTGCGCGCCGCAACTTCGTGTAGCCTACCTGATCGACATACATACTCTAACTAAGTTGTCTCCAAGAATATCGCTTCTTGCTAATCAATATGCTCTGATGGAGACGGAGCAGTATGATAAGTACTAACTGATAGGCCGATAGTCTACGCTAGCTAGCCACTATTTCATGTACCTAACCTAACCTAAGTAGTGTTGATTGATGAACTCTACGTCGTACGGATGGAGTTGTCTCTTACTTTACTTTACAGGTTGGTAATGACAAGATTAGGCGTAGTGCACCTGACCCAGACCACATATAGTGGGGTTTTGCTGTCAACAAATATATTTGTAGTACTCCAACATCGATCACTTGACTGCTGCTGTCCGGGGACACCGGTCGACTGTGTCTGAAACATGGCACGTACCGTGATCTATCCATGGATGGGGTGGCTGGAGCTAGCAAAATTTCGGGTGTTTACCGGATGGGCGCTGTCTGTCCTACTCAGCGACAGCCAGCAGCAGTAGCTAAATGGCATGTAGATCACTTATTGTCCAGACTCCTGTGTGCCGGTCGACTTAAAAGTGGGAATGGGAGCACAGCACTCCTGTACGCATCAAGCTGCATGGTGCATCGCAGCTGGAGATTAGGCGTAGTACACCAGACCCACGCCACCAGACCCCGGCCCTGTCCCAGATCCACCCATGCATGGATGGACAGCTCGAGCTAGCGCCTTCATCGTCCCTGGCCTGATCTCTACTCTCATCAGCGTGTGCGTGTCCATCACTTTTGCTTCTCCGTGCGTGCAACCTTTCCTTTCTCCTTTTCCCTCATGGAAGGGGCCGGGTTAAAGTTCTGTTCTAGAGTCACTAGGACCCATGACATTGTCCGAGAACTTGGCTCCAGCGGTTAAAAGAAACGGATTTGCTAATTCTCATCTAGATGAGAATTGACCAAGTCCCATCTAACTCCTACATCCTTTAGCTAACCAAACAAAAAAAAGAAAGAAAAAAACTCCATGATTATCAGCGTAAAATCAAATGTTGTACGAGTTACGAGACTAGTCAATTTCATCTAGATGTGAGCTAGTTACACCCTAAAGATAAACAGTAGAGGGAGGGGGTAAAGGAAGGATCAATTTCTACGCACACAAGTGGAAAAAGGGCCATCTGTCCCGGTTGCGGAACCGGGACTAAAAGGTCGTTACTAATGCCCTTGGCCTTTAGTCTCGGTTCTTATACGAACCGGGACAGATGGGCCTCCACGTGGCCGTTGTGGTGAGCCCAGGCAGGAGGGCATTTAGTCCCGGTTGGTGGCACCAATCGGGACCAATAGGCATCCACGCGTCAGCTGTTCAGGGGCTAGGGTTTTTTTTTCTGAAAGGGGATGGATTTGGGGTTTTTGTATGGTTAATTAAGGTGTTTCATATATTGTGTTAGGTAGCTAAGTAATTAATAGAGAGAAGTGTCCTCTCTTATCTCCGTGCTTGGTCGACGCTACGTACTATACGTATAGAGAGGCCCTCGACACGCTAGCTAGTAAGAAAATGATGGAAACCATTAAGTACAGAAGTTTGTCATGCATACCGAGAGAAGTGACCGACCTCTCCTTCTCCGAGAGATTGGTCGAACAACACGTTTTCGTATTATCTATCCGACGCTACTGGCTACATACATATACAATATGTAAGATCTGTTACAATCCCCTAGCATCTGAAATCATGTTTCACATGGTATTCTCCGGCTTTATTGATGACGTGGTCAAGAAAGAATCCCACTAATTCCTCTTGAATTGCTTTCATGCGATCTTCTGGTAGGAGTTCATTCCGCATCTCCCACGTCTAATTTGAAGAAGGGGGTTAATACATATATATGAATGAAACTCAACAGAAATGATGGTGTAATAAAATGAAATTATGAATATTATTGCTTACGCACATCAAATTGTCTTTTAGAGTAGCCCCGCTTATCTTTGCAAGTCGCGTTGTGGGTGAACTCGCACACGTAGTATCCACAGAAAGCATTCCCTTGTTCCTGCCACAAGCACTTTACGAGAAATAGAGGTCAATCAAACTAATAACGAAGCATTATAAATGGCATTGATGAAAGTAGCTAGAATCAACGGGATCGAGATGCGCGGAACTAGCTAGCTAGTACTACTTACTTTCGGGTATGTCCATCGCAGCTCCTCCGGCAGTCCCGGAGCTTGTGCGGTGAATACTTTCCAAACCCTGCGAGACAAAGAAAACAATTACTTGATATCAGGAAATGAACAAAAAGTTGCCGATATGGTGCGATAATGATCGATTGAACTAACTTCTCGAGCATTTTAGTCATGTCTGCATAGGTCTCGGGAGATTTTCGCCTCAAGTCTAAGAAGGTTACTAGTCCCTGCTCAAGCTTAATCTTCAGGAGAATATAGTGGAAGCTGCACACGCATGCATAACTCATCAATTACATTACTATAATCTCGCTCGAGTAATAAGGGAAACCGAATATGCACAAGACAGTAACACTCACTCGAAGTTGTAAGGAAAGAGTATTTTATCTTTGTTTTGATTTACTATCAATGATTTGAGCAAGTTGGTCTCAGCATCATCGGCGTTCTTTTCAACCTCAAATTTATCTATGAGATTTGTCTTAATGAACTCAATATCATATATTTCTGCTTTTCTGCACTCGACGATCTTCAATCTGCATAATATAGTGAGGATAATCATATATACATGCAATGAAAGAGCTGAGCTATATATAGAGACTTAATGACAGAAGTAGTACTTACAGACAGTAGCAAGTGACCATAAATTTATCGAGGGACTTTTGATTGAACCACTGGAAGAACTCCTCAAATGAAACAGTCAACAAATCAATTCCAACGAGGTCGTGCTCCTCTTTAACTCTCAGATACAAAGTATTGGTCCCCCAGACTCTCTACAGGTTTCCATGTACCAATCATGGAATCTTCGCATCATCGTTGTTAGAGATTTTTCATCTTTGACAAGAGGCTTCCCGTAATGGTATTGGTGTTCTTCCACCTCCAAGAAATCATAATGTACATCGTCGGGCAGGTAATCTTCAAGATTGCTATAACCGGGCACCATCCCCGGATCATTAGCGACGATATCGCTAGACACCTTGAGCGGGGGGGCACGATTGGTCCGCTTGTTCGCCGAGCTGGGCAATTTTTTCCAACTTGTCGTTCTGCTAACCTTCGATCACTGATAGTATTTCCCGACCGCTCCACTTCGATATATACCTTTGCAGTAATGCGCTCATAGTTGGTTTTCGGCGGAGACTTTGGTGGTTTCCTCAGGGCATCGAGTGTGCGCTTTGCTTTCACCCGGTCTACCTTCTCCTCTGGAGGTGGATGTCTCTTTGCTTTCACCCCTTCAAAGAAGTCATTCACTTCTTTTTCCACGATCTTCGTGTTTTCTTCCACGGTCCTCTCGTATGGTAACTTCTCTAGAGGCTTGAGAGGTGGACCGAATCTGTATTGCCTACCTCTGGCTGTACTGCTAGACGCCGGAGCAGACGAAGCGGCTGCGGCTGTCTTCTTTCGTGCTTGCTTACGAGGCAGAGGAGAAGGACTACGACGCGCCTGAGCAGCCGGGGCGGCGGCGGGTCTCTTCCGCCCTTGCTGGCAAGGCGGAGGAGGAGGCTGGTGGCTGCTCGGGCGCGCCGGCGCAGGCGGAGAAGAAGGCGGAGTGCCGCCACGCATCGGAGAAGGAGGCTGGTGGCTGCTCGGGCGCGCCGGCGCAGGCGGAGAAGGAGGCGGAGTGCTGCCACACGTCGGAGAAGGAGGCTGAGTGCCCTGATCACTCACCGGAGGAGGAGGAGGCGGTGGAGGAGGCGGGGTGCCCTGACTCGCCGGAGGAGGAGGACGAGGAGGAGGCGGAGGCGTCCAGTTCGGAAGGTTGATGAGCTCCTTCCGCCATAGGCATGGAGTCTTCACACAAGAACCCAACTGAGTCTCCCCGTCACCCGTAGGGTGGTCAAGCTAGAGGTCCTCAAATCCTTCTATGATTTCATTCACCATCACCCTAGCATATCCTTCTGGAATCGGCCGGCAGTGAAAAGTTGCGCCAGGTTCAGGAGGTGCAATAGAGCCAATGGCCGCCTTGACTTTTGTTGGGGAACGTAGTAATTTCAAAAAAATCCTACGCACACGCAAGATCATGGTGATGCATAGCAACGAGAGGGAAGAGTGTTGTCTACGTACCCTTGTAGACCGGAAGTGAAAGCGTTAGCACAACGCGGTTGATGTAGTCGTACATCTTCACGGCCCGACCGATCAAGCACCGAAACTACGGCACCTCCGAGTTCTAGCACACGTTCAGCTCGATGACGATCCCCGGACTCCGATCCAGCAAAGTGTCGGGGATGAGTTCCGTCAGCACGACGGCGTGGTGACGATCTTGATGTTCTACCGTCGCAGGGCTTCGCCTAAGCACCGCTACAATATTATCGAGGATTATGGTGGAGGGGGCACCGCACACGGCTAAGAGATCAATGATCAATTGTTGTGTCTCTGGGGTGCCCCCTGCCCCCGTATATAAAGGAGTGGAGGAAGGGGCCGGCCAAGGAGGGTGGCGCGCCCTAAGGGGGAGTCCAACTCCCACAGGGAGTAGGACTCCCCTTTTTCCTATTAGGAGTAGGAGAGGGAAGGAAGTGGGAGGAGGGAG